GAACTTCCAGGACGAGTGAATGTAATGGGTGGGAGAAAGAAGAGGCGTTGAAGGAAGATTTGGAGAGAAACGTGACGTTGTGCCTCCACTACAGCTTCTACCGGAACAGAGAATGTAACGTTGATCCCCTACCTTGTTGTAAACAAAGAGTAGAAGAGCAGAAATGTTGGAGGACTGCTTCCAACGGCGACACGGAAACTGACAGTGCAGAGTTAATGTCGCAGGAGGAGGAGATGGAGCATTGACAAATGGCCGAAAAACAAGATTCAAGGAGAAACGAATTTAGAAGAATTTAGAAGTTTTAGAACTTCTAAACGACGAAAAAAAAGAAACAAAGAAGTGATGAAAGAGAAGAAGTTAAAACTCAGAATTGTTTTGTATGTGACAAAAAACACAAATGAGAAACAAACCAACCAAGTTGTTTTTGAAACTGAAAGAAAACAATTAGTTGAGCTTTGAACATTAAAGAATTTGTTGCGTTTATAAGTTTGCATTTTAATTTTAGTTAGGGGCTTTAGAGACCCTTACTATTTTTTTTGAAAGGCTTGAGTGAAGAGTATATTTAATTATTCCAGCCTGCATGATTGTTTTTAATCAACTAGGACGACTGATCACTTTGTGGTGACATGAAAGACTCGGGTAATCTTTTGAAGAGGGAAGTTATGTCATTGTTCCTTCTAACCACAGAGTTCCTTTAATTTAATATTCAGGACCAATAACAACTACAATTTCCGAGGGGAAGAAGCATAGTAGGGTAATTTTAGCTTGTTGCTTGGCAGGACTGTCCTGCAAACTGACACCTTTTAATACCTAGGAGAAAAAGTTTTAAATCAGGGCATTGACATTGGAAGTCAGAAAAAATGTTTTACCCTAGATCATATCCTCGAAAGTGCAGATTAGTGAAAGAATACGGAAGGCTATAGTAATGTAGTATGATGCCATTTATATTCTGCAGTGAGTCGATATGGCGTGGATAAAAGTGATTTCGTGCATTTTGTAAATTCTGTTCGATGGCACTGTACCATTTTTACGAATGTTACATAGATCCGTTATTTTATCAGTTTGAATATTGTTCAACAACTGTTTTTTTTGTGATCAAGTTGATTTGAGATAGACCCGGGTTAACCGGTTTTCTTATATATCGCTATGATTTAACTATCAAGATTATAAAACATTTTGTCACAAATTTCTGTGAGTTTTCTTCATTTTTATTTTCACATTTTCGTTTTGTGGCTAATTTTTATGGTAACATGTAAGTTGTTTCAAAATTTTGTTGTTTTAGCCAGAATTTTTTGATTCTGGAACTATAGCCTTAGTGTCAGCTCCCTACTTCTAAACTCGTCGCGCGTGTTAATTGCCGGTCTCTTTTTCCTAATGTGCAGCGCCTCTAATGTAAGTAACTTGATGCTGCTGGACGCCTGGTCGATTATTTTCCAATTAAACTCAGACTTACCACGCTCACTACCACACTGCCTTATATGCTGTCCAACTGGGGTATCCTCTTTTCGGTGTTCCTCAATCCTTGTGGTGAGATGTCGGACCGTCTGGCCAACATAGATGGATTTGCACCCACAACATTCAAGTCTGTACACCACTTTTGATTTCAGTTCACTGGAAAAAGAGGATTTTAGAGAGGGCATACAAGTTTTTAATTTCCTTGTCGTGAATATTATCAGCGCATTGGTGATATCGCGCACTTTTTTTTGCTAATATCTGACTGTGATTCCCCCTATATGGTGAATCACTGCCAAGAGCTACCTTGCCTGGTAGCTCTTATTATAACTTGAACAAAGTTCTTGCTAAATTTTTCGAGAAAATTGAGGGCGCAAACATCGAAACCAACTCACTAGATGCGAGAGAAATCTTAGAGAGCACTAATCTTGAGCCCAATGAAAACTTGATATCTCTAGATGTGAAGAGTTTGTACACAAATGTTCCACTGAAAGAAGCGATAGACATAGCTCTGAGAAAACTGTATGAGCAAGATGAACCACCATCAATTTCTAGGAAAACCATGAAGAGACTGTTGAACATGGCAGTTAGTCAAGTCCATTTCAAGTGCAATGAAACATGGTACGTTCAGAGAGATGGTTTGGCAATTGGGGCATCTCTTGCCGTTATTTTAGCAAATCTTTGGCTGAAGCAGTACGAAACTGCACTATCAAGGGATATTCCCGAAATGTTTTTGCCCGAGAAAGATTTTCACGGAAAATGTCCCGAGTGCAAAAAGAAAGTCACGTACAGGTCAAAAGGTGTAGAATGTGAATGCTGTTTGAACTGGTATCACGTGAAATGCGGTGATATATCACATGATGAGTATCGAAATATAAGTGAAACCGTCTGGTACTGCAGAAAATGCATCGCAATAAGGAAGAAAAATAAGTCAGGGCAACAATCTAAATTGTTTCTCCTTTACGCTGATGATATAGTGAGAACAGTGAAGGGTGATCCTGAAAAAGTGCTACAGGCTGCAAACTTACTACATCCAAATTTACAGTTCACAATAGAGACACCGACCACAAACGGAACTTTGGCATTTTTGGATTTACAAATTATTATTGACAAAAGCAGGAAAATTAGCTGTGGGTGGTATCAAAAACCAACAGATACAGGTACCATACTCAATTTTAGAAGCTGCGCCCCCTTCAGTACAAGAGAAGTGTGATTGAAGGAACTGTTCAACGGGTTTTCCGCAGTACGTCGACATGGGAAGAATATGATAAAGCCATGAAAATCAACCGTGAGCAGTGGTGTGATAACCAATATTCTGAAAGTTGGTCGTCGCGGGTTGCATCCCATGCCCTTGAAAAGATCATCAGCGAGGGCAAAAACAAAAAGAACATGGCTGAGAAAAAGAAACCTTGTGATTATAGCAGTGATTCACCACCCATCTTGATGGTCCAATATAGGGGGAATCACAGTCAGACATTAGCAAAAAAAAAAGTGCGCGATATCACCAATGCGCTGATAATATTCACGACGAGGAAATTAAAAACTTGTATGCCCTCTCTAAAATCGTCCTTTTCCAGTGAACTGAAATCAAAAGTGGTGTACAGACTTGAATGTTGTGGGTGCAAATCCATCTATGTTGGCCAGACGGTCCGACATCTCACCACAAGGATTGAGGAACACCGAAAAGAGGATACCCCAAATGGACAGCATATAAGGCAGTGTGGTAGTGAGCGTGGTAAGTCTGAGTTTAATTGGAAAATAATCGACCAGGCGTCCAGCAGCATCAAGTTACTTACATTAGAGGCGCTGCACATTAGGAAAGAGAGACCGGCAATTAACACGCGCGACGAGTTTAGAAGTAGGGAGCTGACACTAAGGCTATAGTTCCAGAATCGAAAAATTCTGGCTAAAACAACAAAATTTTGAAACAACTTACATGTTACCTTAAAAATTAGCCACAAAACGAAAATGTGAAAATAAAAATGAAGAAAAATCTCAGAAATTTGTGACACAATGTTTTAAAATGTTACATAATAGTTGTTACATAAATTCAGTGATATTTGTAAAGTTTTGAATGGTTGAATTTTTAAAATTTTGAAGTAATGATGTGTGTGACACTTTTTATGATCTTTGATCATTTTGTACAGATAGTTTAGAATTTTTAAAACCTGAAGATGCACAAAATGTGCGAAAACGTTTGTTTGAATTTACAATTTTAACGCATTCTCAAAATATCAAGATTATGGCTGTCTCACTTCAGTTCTATATAGCTGTCAATTATCGCTTTGATCAAATTTATCGGACAACGTCCTAATTTATCGGACAACGTCGTAATCTTATCGGACAACGTCCTAAATTTATCGGACAGCGGCCTAAATTTAATGGACATCGTCCTTTCTTACCTCAGTTCTATTTAGCTGTCATTTGTAGCTTCGATAAAATTTATCGGACAACGTCCTAATTTATCGGACAACGTCCTAATTTTATCGGACAACGTCCTAAATTTATCGGACAGCGTCCGTTCTCTTCTCATTTTCATAAAGTTGTCATTTGTAGCTTTTATAAAATATATCTGACAGCGTCCTAATTTAACGTCTTTGTTTTTTTGTTCTTTTTCATTGCAAAATTTCATTCAGATTGCTGCTGAAAGATCTTTTGACAGTTCACATGCAATTTCAAAAATCGGTAGTGATTTCAACTCTTTTTTACTGTCTCAGGGTCAGAATTAATGCAGTTTAAGACGTCCGATAAAGTTTTTAGAAGCTATAATCTTGACAAAAGTAAACCAAGTTTTTGCTCCGGTCTGAAAAGACGTTTTACACAATGCCAAACATATTTTATGATTGTTTTTCACAGACAAAATTGAACAAGACTGCTCGTATCAGGGCGAAGCCCTGAAAGTTCCGACTGCCTTTGAATGTTTATGGAGCAGTAATAAAATAAAAAAATTAAATGAAATAAAATAAAATGAAAAACTTTTTTTCTAAAATTTGAAAATTTCTATGAAAATCATCCCCCCTCCCATATAAAGTACCAAACAATAGATTTCGCTCCTTGCAAGAAATCAATTATGACGAAAAGGCTTCTTTCAACCAATTTGGAACGATTTCTAAAACGGGTTAAATCTCCGCTTACGCGTTGATAGCGCGAAATATATCGCGCGTTAATTTGTCCCAAATTGGTCAAAATGACAAACTTTAAACCCTCATAACTTTACGAAAAATAATCACAGGTGAAATATCTTTTCAAATTTAAGCTCAGGACAACAATAGCTTTCGAATGATGTAAAATAATTCCGTCAAAAATGGCTAGTTGAAAAGTCGAAATTTGTCTGAAGAAAAAAAAACCCCACCCCGAGCACAAATATTCCGTTACTTTCGTATCGAAAGTCGGAACAATAATCTGATCTTGTAAATATTGGTTGATTAAGTCAATCTAGTTCAAGTTGACTTTGATATTTAAATGAAAGAAAGGAAAATACCAATTACCTACATTATGCACCTTTATAGAAAGTGTTTAAAAAAAGAAAATGTTTGTCTACGCATTCTTCTCGCTTCTCTGTTCCAAAGAAAGTAGCGATGGGCGGCTTGTCGTAAGTTTTTGAAATCAATTTTTTCTCATTACAGTCGTTTGGAAAATATGTGAATGCCAGTTTTACGGCATAACAATACTTTCGATGTTTCTGTTTTTTTCCACATGTCTTATAAGAGTCCTAAGAGTAGGAAAATAGCTCGATCGTTCTTACTCTTGTTATGTTTTGAAGTCTGTGAATTTTGTTGCTATTTTTCACAGTTACTTGTTTAAAGCTTTAATTTTGGCTAATGTTTCTGTATCACAAGTGATGCGAAGCTCTGCTTTGCCTCTGTGTCGCAAGTGGTGATTTTACGTCTTTGTCACCTTAAAATTTACTGGAAGTATAAGTTCATAAAAAATGTCTGGCCTTGAAAATGTCAAAAAAAAATACATGTCCGGTGTCGTCATTCTTGTTTAGTACATTTGTTTAAAAGCAGATGTTTGTTTGTATTGTGGGCAATGTAAAATGAGCAGCTACAGAAAAAAAAGCAGTAGCAGCGAAGACGGGGAAGTATCTGGAGAAAATTCAGACCACCAGGATGAAGATATAGTCCCAACGAAAGTATCAAACAAGAAGTTATGGTCTAATGTCATGTTGGACCAGACAGCGGATGATGTTATCGCAGGAGTTAATGCCTTTGAGGGTAAGATTTCCAATTGGTTATTACCAGTATTGCATTTTGTTATTACCCTTGCGATAAGCAAGGGTGTTGCAACCGGGTACGACACTTTTTGCCCGTAAACAACTTGTTCATAAGATTTAGCTGGTGAAAACGTTACATGTTTTTAACTTGCCTCATAAGAAAATGAATGAATTATCTGGCGTAGAGGTAACACATATGCTTGAGACGACAAAGGGTCCGGTCGGGACCTCTTTTTTGCTTCTTCGGGCTATCGACCGTCTTTTTACGGCTTAGTTCTCGTTGCACGGACTCTTTTTCAAGATTCAGCTTTCTTCAAACTTTTTGAATACCTTTAGTGGAAAGTAAGTGTTTCAATTTTTTGCGAAAATTTTGTTGCATATCAAGAAAATTTATGCTTTGTCAATTAATGAGCATGCAACTATTACGCATGCGATTATTATGTTTCCAATTAGCATTGTCGGCTTGTTACCGCTATGAAATTTTTATTTCGACGCAAATTTACCGTTCAGTTTTCTTAATTGGCATGTTATTTTTTTAAAAGAATGATTTTTATTCCACGCAAATTGGTAATTTTTTGAAAGTGTTGGTATATCTAGCTTTTCTCGTCAGTATCACATTTTAACAATTTGTTTTTGACTTAGCGGGTCTGGACTCAATTTCTAGACGGTTGTCGACTCTGTCAGTTTAGTTCTCGACTTGGGTTTTTCGTAATCAAAACCAGCAAACACTGCGTTCAAATTCAATCATGATTTTTTTTCCTATTTTTGTATACTTATAAAATCATCGTGCTGGAAATCCTTTTTTACTCTGCTCCTCTCGACTGTACTGAAATCATTGTTTTTTTTGTGCCGTGATAATCACTAGATCAAAGGAGAAAAAGGCCAAATAACTTATCGTTTTTCTATGGTTTTGTTGTTTTTTTTTCGGCGGGTGCAGAGAAAATCGCACTTCTTAATTTTATTGTGCAAAGCTTAATTTTATTCTTAATTTTTTGTCGATTTTTTTTCTTATGATCAAGCGACTTAATTTGTTAAAACTGAATTAAGATGTCTGTAAAATATATATTTATTGAGGCACGACAAGATACACAACCAGGTATCTGAAATACACATTGAATTCGAAGTTAATACATTAACAATGAACATAAACCTGTACAGAAACAGTTAACAAAAGAATTACACACTGCACTATTTTCTTTTGTTCCTTCTCTTTCGAAAATTATCCAGCCACTTCCTTCATTGAAATGATCAACAACAAGTTAACTTGATTAAGGAATCAATAGTTCATAATTCTTTGGAGGGAACCGCTTTCCATCACACCCAGAAGTTGATCGACAGATGCCGTCTTCTTAGTTAAGCAGTCCGCTAGTTGAAACTGGGTTGGCAACCATTTCACAACCAAGCCTTTCTCATCAACAACCTCTTTGATAGCTGCTATGTCGACACATTATCTTTTCTCGGTCACTCCTTTCGAAGATTTAAGTGAGTCGTGAAGTTGTTTGCGATCATTAAACGCTATCAAACCCATTTCTTCTCGCAAAATTGTACTGATAAGGAAAAACGCGTTATCAACAGCATCCTTGAGCGCCAAAGTTTCGGCTGCCGGTGTGCTCCTAGCAGTGGGCTTCGAGTTCCAGCCAATCAAATGGAACGTGTTATAAACAGTACTGACTGGTCCAGTAACATATCCAGACAGAACCACCGTCTGATAGGTTTGAAACGAGGCGTCAGAAATTACACAGTTTTAATCGACTAAAATCAAGTTTTTCTGAATATAAAAAAGGGCGAAACAGCAGTTTGTTATCTTTTTCGTATAGAACTCGATGAACAAGCTGTTTGCACGAAAACTGAGGCCAGGACGAGTTTGACTACTCAGACATTGGAGTTTGCCTACAACACTTCTGAGCGCTTCAACCTCATGCACGAGCTGTGAAACAATTTCGGAACTGAAGAGTCCCAGTGACAAGAAAATTGTCTACGCGAGGCAAAACAAGACCATCTAGTTTCGATGGTTTTGTGATAGTGGACAAAGAGGGTTCGATATCAGTTTCAAACCGAAATCGCTGAGTACTCGTGAAATTTTCAAAAACAATGCTCCGAAGCGTCTTCGAGCCCGTAAACTGGCTTTTAGTCTCCAAATCAAATTTTTTTCTCCTGATTCTATAGGAGGACGAATATATACGTCTCTGTTTAGAGTAACACTCTGCAGGAATGCAGTTGTGACATCCACACTGATAATTTCCCAGTTAAAGAGCTCAGCAATTGACATAGAAATGCGGATAAAGTACCGTGAAATGACCGACGATTTGGTGCTAAGCGATATTCTTCTTCATAAATCCTCTCGCTTTCGGTACAACAGATCCGTCGGCTAATTTCTTCATGGTGAGAACCCAACGTGTATCGATTGTTTTCTGACGACAATCAACAACCGGTTCCTACACCCCGAGATTAAGCGAGACTTCTAGTTCCGTCTCCTTGATACTGCGTACTTCTGAAACATTCTGTACTTTCATCCAGTCGGCCAACTTTGTCAAAATCTACCCAGCCAACGCTCCATTTGATGTCTTTTGGTGACTCGTAGAGAACGTTGAAGTAATTTTTCCACTTTCTGTTGGTTTTTCCCGCTCGTCCAGCGATTGTCCTCGTAAACTCTGCATTGTGCCCTAATTCGTTGACAGCAGAAATTTTTAATTTAACACTTCATTCAAAAACCCGTGTTTTGTTCTGTTTGTGTTTTGATTCCGTCGCTCTGTTTTTCAGCTGAGGCTAAAACTCCACTTCCTTCGGCAGTCAGCTCACTGGGAGAAGTGTTTACGATTCGAGTCCAGAATCACAGGTTATTTCCATGACCATGCTGTTTTACATTCCGAACGTTGTGCATCAGAGCTCTAGGAATACGCTCGCTGTATTCCGCTTCGATGTAAAACTTCCTAGCATTCCCAATCGACTTTATTCTTGAAGCAACGAACGTAGATGCACTGTTTGACTCCAATGCCGGAATCTTCGAATCCAGCACGCACCCAAACCTAGAATTTGAACCGAAAGCAATCTGAGCGGGTGTGAGACCGTGTACATTGTGCTAATTGCCACGAGTGGCTGCAGATGCGGCTCGTACTGTATCTGCATCAAGCTCGGGGTGTTCTGATCGCACTTTGTTGGAACACTCCGTTAGAACAGAAAAATTTCTCTCACAGATTCCATTACTAAATAGAGAATATGCCGCCGTGGTGAGAGTGTTGAAGTTCAATTTGTCGCAAAAATTGCGGATTAAATCAGTGTCAAATTCTCTTCCGTTATCCGTCAAAATAGATTCTTTTAAAGGTCCAATTAAAGTCACATAGTTCTTGTAAAACGCGCTAACAACGCTTTTCGCTGTCTCATCAGGAATTGTTACAGCTATACAGAACCGAGAAAACTGGCATATCATTTGGAGAAACCATTTGCCGTTTTTCAAGCAGGTCAAATCTAAAGCAACCACTTCATTGATTACTTAACATGTGGGGAAACTCACGATAGGTTTTCTAGCAGAATTCACATGCGCTTGACAGAACTCGCACTTGTACACGCAATGTTCCATTTCCTGTTTGGAAAAACCATACTTAACGAACGTGAGAAGAAGCCTGATTAGGGCAGTTACACTACATTGGCCTAACTGTTTATGCAGTTTAGTCAATTCCACCTCCGTGACAAATTTTTCGCTTTTGGAGTCACAAACGCGGTAGATACCGCATTCGTTTTTCCGCTTGATGTCAACAAAGGCATTAAATAATGGCCTGAAATAGTGGTTCGCAATGACAAACTGCAGCCAAAGTTTTGTGCTGTATCGGTCGCGGTATTCAACTTGAAATTGATCCTTTTTAAAGCTTTCTTGCTGACGAGCAAAGGTAATTGACCGTCTGTTACGTCTGTTTCAACCTTGCACATGCACATAGCTATAAAACACGAAATTTTAACCTGAAACTCAGCAGTTTGTCTTCCCATGTTAGCAAATAAATTTTGTGTATCTGATCCATAGTCTCTGCAGTCAAATCAGCAGGTAGAGTACGAATAAACATATCAAACGAAACCGCTCCACACACACTGCTGGTGCATCCAGTGTCAATGATTTCGTGATTGGCGCATTCTTTCAGCAATCTCGAGCTGGTCGCAAGTGTAATTTTAGCAAGACCGTCTTGTCTGCTATCGGCCAGTAAAGCAAACCTTGCCATCGACTGTGTCGACTTACTCTGACTCCTGAGCCTCCAGAGTTTCTTTTATCACCGATGACGAATTTGTGGAGTAAGCCTACCCCTTTTTCGACTTCCGGCATTATCTTTATCTTGAAGACAATCTGTCGCATGATGGTAAATGGAACCACATGCCATGTACCGGGTAATGTTTCCCTGTCTGCTTCTTCCCGCCGGTCCTCTGTATTGAGGTTTCTTTTCTTCATTCATATCTCCGTTTTTCCCAGTTTCTTTTAGTCGATTTTTCTGCAACAAACGTTTCCTGTTTAACGCTAACATTGTCTTCTGCGGAAGAGTCGCCAATTCCAACGAACATGCAAGTAAAACTTTTTTCACATCACCATACTTAAAAGATGCAACAGTTGACCATAACATTTGCGTGTTAGTCTGTTTTAAATAGGCAATTTCGAGGAGTTTAAGCTCCGGACTTCTTCTGGAAGCTGACGGCCATGACTTTTCAGCTTCGTATACCGCGTCTCGAACTCAATGCGAAAAGTTGACATCGATAAATCACCTCTGCGAAATACTTCAAAACTGTGATATGCCTCGTAAGCACTGCCAATAGTCTCTTTTTTAATATTGGTATCCATGGCACCCAACAACGCGTCCATTCCATTATTACTGTTCAGTTGGTCTGCAGTAAAGGCAATTGCAACTTCTTTGTATTGGCCGGTCAATGACTGCGTAACAGCGAGAGCTTGCTTGTCTTTTGCTAGATCAGTCACTCTTCTCATGCTACCATTTGTTAACATTGAATTAAGATGGCGGTAAAATATATTTTAATTGGGGCACAACGAGATGCACAACCAGGTATCTGAAATACAGAATCAACATGAACGTTAACAATGAACATAAAAATCTAAAGAAACAGTTAATTAAAGAAAAACACAATTAATTTTAAAAGAAAACAAGACTGCTCGTATCAGGGCGAAGCCCTGAATGTTCCGACTGCCTTTTAAGGTTTATTGAGCAGCAGTAATACCTAAAAAAAAATTAAATGAAATAAAATAAAATGAAATTTTTTTTTCTAAAATTTGAAATTTTTTATGAAAATCATCCCCCCACACGCAAAATAAAGTACAAATAGGTAGATTTCGTTCCTTGTAACAAATCAATTATGGCAACTAAGCTTCGTTCAACCAATTTGAAACGATCTCTAAGACGGATTAAATCTCCGCTTACGCGTTAATAGCGCGAATTATATCGCGCGTTAATTGTCCCAAATTGGTCAAAATGGCAATCTTTAAACCCCCATAACTTTACGAAAAATGATCACAGGTGAAATATCTTTTCAAATTTAGGCTCAGGACAACAATAGCTTTTGAATGATATTAAAAAAATCCGTCAAAAATGTCTAGTTAAAAAGTCGAATATTTGTCTGAAGAAAAAAAAACCCACCCCGAGCACAAATATTCCGTTACTTTCGTATCGAAAGTCGGAACAAAAATTGATCGACAAAAATATTTAAGTATAAAATTAAGCCTTGCACAAAAAAATTAAGAAGTTCAATTCTCTGCATCCGCCGTAAAAACCATAGAAAAGCGATTCTTTATTTGGCTTTTTTCTTTGATCTAGTGATTATCACTGCACAAAAAATCAAAATTTCATGATCAAGCGACACAATTAATTTGAAGTCTTTTTTTTGCAGAGGCATGCGGTTTTTCTAAGGCTCTTATTTAGCTTGGTGGTGCAAGAAATAATTGAACAAAAAACCAAGCTGTGCTCGATTTCAACTATTCGTTGTTGATTTTTCAATGTTTACATGCTCTCGTGGTTTTTGTAGGTGTCGCTGATGTTTTTTTTGGACTGGAAGTATGAAAGATTTTATAATTAAAGGACGTTCTCCTTAAATTTCCACACTAATTTCCATTTGCTATGATATCATGGTTGACCTCATCTTCAGTTGAGGTGGGCATGCTGTGAAAGCTTAGGGTTTTCTCGAAATCTCATCAGACCCCTATTGAAAGAGATTTGGGTTTTCTCGAACTCTCATCAGATCCTATTGAAGGACATTTGCGAATTTGTCCCGGATTAAGGCGAGCAAAGTCAGCCATTCCGATGCTCCCTTCTGTGAAGCAAGATCTATTGTAAAAAATATTTGTGACGTAGTTAACTTTTTAATAATGGTGTGTTGCCCTTGGTTACTTTTTCCATAGTCATTTTTTATTAAAGTTAAGTTTTCCTTGATTGTCCGAGTTCTCTCCTTCTCATAGACAAAGTGAAGTGATGACTTAGCGAAATGATGACTTATTTTGTCCCCAAAACGTCTTTTTCCGATTAGGTTGCGTATGAAAGATGGTTTTTTCTTCTGCATTTGTTTTTACATAGGTGTCGAAAATTTGTCTATAAAGGCAACCTAATATATTTTCAACGCTTTTTTGTAGATTTCGAGAACATAAAGAATTGACCTGAGGCTTCAAGGTTACCTGCAGCACTTCCATTATCCTATAAAAAAATTTTGAAAATAAAATTTTAGTGCTGAATTTTATTTTTTTTTTGCGTTGTCGAATATGCCTAATTCGCTAACTGTCTACGCTTCGATTTTTTGAGTGGCCGGAATATTCTGTGCTTCTTGCACAGATACCGAGCATCCGTATTTTTTTGTAACTTTCAAGCTACATTCTAACTGTAGGATCATGCAGCAATAGAGATGTGGAAAGTTATCAACCTAGAAAGCGTAGGCGGAGTGAAACTGACGAGCTGGATGTTGTACTTGATAGTGTAGAAACAAGAAGCGATGTATTTGCTAATTCTGAGCAGATCAATGGAACGACTCAGCCGAATGTAGATGACAGTTTGGGTGCTGGTAAGCGAAGAAAGTGTGTGGTATACGATGATGATTCAACCAATAACGACAATGAGGAAACTTATAGACAACTGGACCAGGAAACAACCGCATCTGATAAGGTAGCTTTTAAGCTTTCGTTTTATTTTTTTAACTTTGAATATATTAATGCTACTGCATGACTTCTTTATGTTTTGCAATGATTATTAGGGTTTCATGTCAATCTACCCTATTCCAAGCTACCCTATGCCATTCTACCCTACACTAATCTAACCGATATTCCAATTTACCCGATGCCAATCTAACCTGTGTTCTTTAAACAGTTTAATTGGTCAGAGACCACTGAGCTGACTATCCCGGGTTAGGGTCGCCGGTTTAAAATAATATGTCGGTTTAAATTTTTTGCCTCTATTTGAGTTAACCATAATGTTCTTTTTTTTTTTTCAGTGAGTTGTTGTTCTCTCGCACTTAATTTTATTTTTCTTGCAGAATTTCCCCCATTTCTCATGTTATTACTTTTGCGATAAGCAAGGGTATTGCAATCGGGTACTAGACTTTTTTCACGTAAATAGCTCTGTTCACAGAATGGGCAATTTTATAGGTAAATTTCAAGACATGCTCAATTTCTTGAAAATTCAAATAAAACTACCTTTTATATTTAGTATATAGGCGGAGTACGTTTTGTGAGGAATTTTTTTATCACATAAATTTCTTTAAAAAATGTTGAATTTTTTTTTCGGATTCGTGGATCTCAGCCTAGTTTCAGTCGGTTCATTTTCCGCTTTTTTTAAATGACATTTTTTTTATTGACCAATTACCAATTTTATTGATCTACTTCACTAAGCATTGATTTTATTGTTATTCTAATTTCTTCATTATAATTGAAAGTTCTGTAGCTTGTCATTTCACCATGTCTGATTTTGAGTAATTTCGTTTTTTTTCTAGTGTTTTTTTTCGATTAAACCCTTTCGGATTGTGTTGTATCGGCTTAGTAGCCTTATATTCTGTAGTTTCAACGGTCAGAATATCTTTGTTCGACAAAATCAAGTTTTATGAAAATGTATTGGATTGGTTTTTTATGTTTTTACTTTTTTGAGACGCGTTCGAATTATTTTTCAGTTTTAGCAAAAATTTTGGTTCTGTGGAAATTTACTCTGCCGATTTTCAAAAACGGCGTATCAATTGACAGACGGTCTATTTCCTGTGTGCCGGCGTACTGCTCTAGTCTCTTCTTACTTCATACTTTTCTATCTACAGCCTTCGAAAAAGTCCGTGAGGGGAATATTTGACCCATTTTTTTTTGGATTATTTTCGTTTTTTGAAAAACTTTTCTCCAAATCTGAGATTTTAAGTTTAATGGATAGTGCGGGTCGTAAGAAGCTCCCCTGCATAAGCGACTGCGCAAAACTTTCTTTTTAAAAATTTGTGGCCCTCTGAATAGTCAAATATTTTATTGTTTATTGAAGAAAATGTTTTCTCGAAAACTACCCTAGCAAATCCGAGATTTTGTGTTCAATCGAAATAACGGGTTAGGATTAGCTCATCTGCATAATCGACGGCGCCCAATTTTTTTTACACAAAATCACCCTCGGAAAAGTCAATAATTCATTTTTTACCGTTTTTTGAAACTATTTGACTTTTCTCGAAAACGATCCTCTCAAATCATGCATTCATTCGAAACTACAGATTATGTGAATCAGTAATGCATAAAGTGCTACGCCTAAATAATTTTACACGAAAAGGTATGATTCGCGGCAAAGTCAGATTTTTGAAATTTTGACCGTTGTTAAGAAACTAGTGACTTTTCTACCCTATCAAATATGAGGTGAAGGCTTCAATCGAAAGAAACGGTTAGGAAGATTCCTATTTTCTAAAAGTTTTTACTCTTCTCACTACTAAAAACTATGGGTTTGGGCAAAGTCTATGGTTTTGGGCAAATTCCAATGGTTTTGGGCAAAGTCCTATGGTTTTGGGCAAAGTCCAATTTTGAAATCACCCGATTCATCCAGCATCCGTATAACAAATTCCAAAAATATCAAACAGCTGCCTCATTTTTTTACATGTTTTGGTATCGCTAGCCATACATAGCTCCGCTTCGTCTATGGGTCTAACTTGCATGTGCTTAAGATTCTAATAACTTATCCGGTGTTTAGATACCCCACGAACTAGACGTAACGTTCGAAGATGTGATCGTAGAGAGCAGTGCATTCCTAGATAGAGCGAAACAGAGACACATGCGACCTCCGAAAGACCCGGAGAAGACTTCGAAACAAGATGTCATTAGATATCTCACATGGCTTTTGAACGAGAAAAACACTGGTCCATTTGTACACTCGTGTCAGAATTACCATCATAATTTCACTTAAGCTGATTAATCAAGGTAGCTTGGACAAGATTCATAACACGCAAAATCTTGCAATGAGAACTGATTAGAATTAAAATACGATATTACTTATTGTTAAGAGTAATGAACGTAGTGAAGACTCTTATATAGGTCGTGGTGTTTTTTTCAGGAATAAGACTTAAAAATAGTAGAGCTTAATTTTGATTTTTTGCAGTTGGACTTCATCATCATTGCCGCCTTATCCCGTTCAAACGGGGTCGGCGGGGCGCCCCTGAATCTTCGAGCGCCAGACTTTGTGGTCGTGTGCGTCGGCTTTGTGGTCGTGTGCGTCGGCTTTGTGGTCGTGTCCTCGTCTTATCATTTCCTCCTTCACATCCTCTATCCAGGTCTTTCTTGACCGTCCTTTGGGTCTTTTTCCAGGAACCTCAAAGGAATACGCTTGTTGGACCAGATTATCGTCTTTTCAAAGCAAGACGTGTCCGAGCCATCGCAGTTAAGCGTTTTCAACACAGTCAATAACGGTCTTCTCATTACCAAGTCGGCTCAAAAGCGAGTCCGATGGAATGATATCTAATAAGGTTACTCCACGCATCATTCTAGCCATGCGCCTTTCCGTTGAAAGCAACCTGCGTTTGTGTTCTAATTTGAGTGTGCAAGTTTCACATGTGTACGTCATTGCTGATCGGACACAAGCACAATAAATGACACTTCTTTGTTTCATGGCGGTCCCCGTTTGCCGAGTAACACGCCACCATTGTTACGGATCGCAAACCATGCTTTCTTGATACGTTCGTAAATAACAATTTCACAGTCTCCAGCAGCATGCAAAGTGTGTCCCAAATAACAAAACTGACTAACACTCTCCAACTCGTCAAAACTGTTACGAGGTGCAAGATCACTTGGGACTGGGGTTTGACATGTATACCACTGAGAGCTCGACTCGCGTGGAGATAAATTTCTAATGCCGTTACAACGTCCATCTACCCATTTTCTGCAAAGAGTGCACATAATCGAGTTTCTGCCAATTGTACTACGACAAACGCCACAAGGATTGACAGTAGCAATGCGGGCAACCCATTGCAGCAATGCGGTTTGACTTGGTTTTTTTTTAAGTTCAGGACATTTCCATTGTTAAAAGGAAGGCAAGTTTACTATCGAACAGCAAAAGTGTAAAGGTCACGAAAAACTTGATCGTGTTCTAGTTTCGAAAGTGGAATTTGATTATCAGATTTTCCAGCGAAATAAAATCTTTACCTATTGATTCAATTTTCTCAAATTGGGTTAGTTTTATCAAAAAAAGTGCCAATCATACATTGCTGTACATATTCAAAGAGCTTAAAGGTCATTTAGTTTTTCTTCGAAATTCAAAAACCAAGTCAGTTTTTTTTCTGTTTCTTAGCGTTCAGTACTCTTTTTCAACTGTCAGTTGGCTATGTTGTAAAACTATTCAATCAATTACGATGTATTAAATGTGCAATAAGTATGTAATAAAATTTGCCTATCTGAGCTATTTTGTAAGCGTTTTTTTTTTGGTTTCTGACGCGAGTTGTATAAATTCGATGAAATACAGAACTACTGGAGCGTCTACTGGACATCAAAACTATCGGATTTGTGTATTATATTGTTGACAGAACTATTACAAAGGAAAAAGAGGGAGGAATTTTGACCAACAGTGGAATTAGAAAACGTCTTCCAGGCAGGGGTGTTAACTAAAATCATGGGAACGTTTGATACATAGCAGGGTCGCGGCAAAATTTTTCAATCATGAAAAAGAATAGTGTATGGTTCTTAAGAGAACAACCGTGATACCCTGTCATCAGCTGATTATTGATTCTCGTTTTTGCGGTGACTCGATATAAATTGGCGCCAAGAACGAAGCTATTTTTTGGTTTCTGCAAAAGAAATTTTTAATTCAATGATGGGATTTATTTTTTACAATAATTTCGGAATGACTCACATTAAGTTAGTGTATACTGATAATAATTTGGTTTTTGGTAATCAGTTCAAATTCGGTCATGATACAATTGCTAGAAAACAGACATTGATCGTTGTTTTTGACCTACAATTCGCACATCAACCCTAAATGTTTTGCCCCGCAGACCAAATGGTATCAGGCTGATACATTTTGCGTGCTTGACAATTCAGTGACGCGAAGCGCTGGCGTGCGCGTAGCGCTCCCACCACCATACAGAAATAATTATGCTTACCGACAAAAAAGGGAGGGGACGAAATATGTGGAAAGATTTAGGGCAAAACATGCCAGGGGGAAATTGTGGCATTGGGCTATTGTCGTAGTAATATTTTAATTAGCACCCCAACTGGCCTATTTGAAGGTGGAGTGTTTATATCTCTTCTCAAGGTGCATCTGAGTCAGTTCGAGCGATTGGTGGTGCTAGACGGAAAATCGCAACTAGCGGCCAAGAATCTATGCGTGCGAAAAAGCTCAAAGAAAAACAGAAAACGAGCGGCCAAATTGAGAAAGAAACAAAACGACAAGAAAAGTTTAGAAGATGCAGAAACACTGAAATGTAATCCTGAAGTGGTAATGGACAATGTCGTCAATAATGTATTACAGTGTGAGTCTGACGAAGAACCGGAAGACGCTGAAAACGAGGCTGCTCTGGAAAAGGAAATAAACATTGAAAAAAGTGAAAATATGGAAAACGGAAATGAATTTAAAAACATCGAAAATGGCGATGAAACTGCTGAGGCAGTTGAAGAGTGCTCGAAAATAGATGACAGCGTGTTAAATGAGAAAGAAGAAGCTAAATAAAATTCAAATGAAATCTAGAAGTAACAATTTCGTTGTGCTCGCTTAGTTTTATAGTTCTAATTTATATCTATCTTCACTCTATTTATTTGAATATCATTTGTTTTCGTTTCCTTGCATCAAGAATGGGTTAAAATTAATAAGTAACAGCTCAGAGACTTCAAGTGGAAGGAAAATCTCATGTAATTGTTTTTCTTCCACTATTTGAACACGATCTATTTAATCACAAATCTTTCCCAAAATTTCGAGTGTTGTGTTATAGTATGAATCTACTCTTTTTAAGCAAAGCTGCAAGTAAAAGTGCGCATTTTGTTGCACTCTTGATATGATCGAGATCTGTAGCATTGGAAGTTTTATAGCAGGGTGGCCTCCAAAGTTATATTTGATAAAAAAAGATGAAAAACGTTTAAAACTGTTTTGAAACATTTATAAAATCAAAGCTTTAAAATTTTTGACGATTCGTCCTTTGCTTATATAGAAGACAATTTGATACTTTTTGCCACTATCGTTGTTTCTCCCTCATCAAAAAAAACTCGGATTAAGGGCCTTAATTTTGAAGGACAGGTCAGCCAAATCATTTTCCATAACACCTGTTGTTTTAAGTGCATGTTATGAGATTTCTTACATTGACAGGGTTTTAATAAGTGACAGGGAAATGTTTTAATAATCGAAGAAGTAAAGTGTTTCCGAACTGCTATCGTTTCAGAATCTTTTCCTCTTCGATCGCTAATTTATGTAAAGTGATTTTTTAAATAAAGAGTAATGAATGTAGTCAGTAGCGGATTTGGGGTGGGGGGGGGGGGGGCGGACGCCCTTTGTAGTTTTTTGAGACATCCACTTTTGGGTGACTGGCCTTCAAATTTTTCTAAAGCCAATATATACTAATTTTGAGGTGCAGCGCGCGCCGAAAAATGGATTTTTTGGTCGAATTTTCCCAAAAGTGCATAAAAACGCCTTTTTGGCCTGTTTTTTGAAAAAGTTGTGTGTGGCGCAGAAAATTAGTCAATCTAGGGTCTTTATAGTGATTTGCGAGAGCTCAGAAAATCATTTTGGTCGACTTAAAAAAAAGGTCGAGAAAAATTTCAAATGTTTTTTTGAAAATCCCCCCCCCCCCCCCACCCCCTCGAGAAATTTCTAGATCCGCGCCTGATTGTAGTGAAGACTCTCAGGTGGGTATTGGTGATTTTTTCGTGTTTTACGAAAAAGGCTTGACTTTTGATCGCGCTCGATTTTTCGCGGTTTGACTTTGATTTCTTTATAGTTCAGTTCATTGTTTTAAGGAAGGCAAACTCCCCTACCGAATAGTAAAAGTTTAAGGTCACAAAAACTTGATGTACTTCTAGAAAATGGGTTTAATTGTTCAGATTTCTCAGCAAAAATAATAGCTAGTCTTTTAATCCAGTTTCCTCCAATTGGGTTAGTTTAATCAAAAAAGAGTTAATCATAAATTTTTCTTGAACTTCAAAGAGCTTCAAGGGCATATATTTGCTCTGTAAATTTCGAAAGTTGAAGTTTTTCAAAAAATACGTCACTTTTCTGTTGCCTTGCGTTCCTTACCTTTTTCCAACTGTCAGTTGGCCAGGTTATATGTTTATCGCGCTCTTTTTTCTTACATGGTGACTTTTGGTTTTTATTCGCTCTTTAACTATTTATTTTCCAAGAAAGCTGAAATTGCAAATCCCGGGAATGATCGCAAATATTGTTCTGTTAGTTAAGAAAAAGATGATTTTGTATGAATAGAAGAATAACTGGTGGATTAACAAATAGCGCAATCAAAATAGTCTCGATAAAAATATCAAACAGTTTCAGTGTTGATCAAATTTTCAATGCCTGAAATGTCCAGAAAAAAGTTAGTTTTTTGTATACACTAACCAATCGAAATTTTTTGTTCAACCGAATTGGTCAAACTAATTGTTATTTCATAAATGATGAAGCCGATTATACAACCGATCTCACTAGTTATGCAGGGATAGTTATTCTGTTTAACTTAAATCAGTATTATCCTTGGTAATTTTTAAGAGTAATGAAGGTAGTGAAGACTCTTATATAGGTCTTGCAGATTTTTTTGTTTTTGTTTTTTTTTTTCAGGAAAAAGTCTTCAATTTGTTCACGCTCAATTCTGATTTTTGCGGTTTGACTTGTGATTTTTTTTAAGTTCAGTGCTCTTTCCTTGTTAAAAGGAAGGCAAACTTCACTATCGAACAGCAAAACTCTAAAGTCACGAAAAACGTGACCGACTTCTTATTTTGAAATTGTAAATTAGTTACCAGATTTTCCAGCGAAATAAAAGTTTTACCAATTGATCCAGTTTTTTCAAATTGAGTTAATTTTAACAAAAAAAGTGTCCATCGTAAATTGCTCTACAAATTCAAAGAGCTTTAAGGCCATCTAATTTTTTATTCGAAATTCAAAAGTTGAAGATTTTTGAAACAACAAGTCGTTTTCAGTTTCCTTGAGTTCATTACTCTTTTCAAACTGTCAGTTGGCTATGTTCTTAATCATCAATTTCAGTACCAGATTCTTTTTTCTGTTAAGAGTCGATGAGACTCTTATATAGGTCGTGATGACTTTTTATATAAAGGTCTGCGCACTGCTGTCTCAAATTATTTCAAATTAGTTTTCTCTGTGCTCTGCGTCTTAATTGCTCTGCGGAGAATTGTCGCTTTTTGAAATGCTTAAATTGTCACCTTCGACCAATGGTCGCTAGCGACGAATTATCGCTTCACGATTTAGGTCTTGTTTTTTTTGTTTTATGGAAAAAGTCTCCGCGGTTTGACTCTGATTTTTACTTCAAATATGAAAATGGTTCAAAAGTGCGGATGATTTTTAGTTTCAAAAGTGGGTTTTTACATTTTAAAATTTCTAGTAGTTTTTTTGGCTGCTTGGCTTGTATAGAAAGGCTAGAGCACGAGTTCTTAAGATTCTAAGGGGTATAATAAAAAATGTTTGAATGTCTGGTGGCTTCACTGAGACGTGAAAGATAATTAGGATGATTATTTGAACTACGATCTATTGGTTAAAAAAGACCTGTTTTCAAGCAAAGTGGTCTAAGCAATTAGTTTTTGAATTAACTGATCAAACCAATTGCTAAAGAAATGGCTATATTGAACATAACTAACTTTCTCAATTGTCTGTGGCGAATGGATTCCTTTCAAAAGTTTGTTATGATTTACAAAACATTTTTTTTTTTTCAGATTATGATGATTTACAATTCTCTGGGCTAATCTTTACTGCACTGACTGATGGCTGGAGTTGGATTCTGGAACGAGAGGTTCTGGTTGCCCAACAACATAACATGGGCAGACCTCAGAGACACTCCTACGGGTCAGTGAGACTTCTATTTTACTCATTTTCAGAGTCGATGAACGTAGTTCACACTCTTATATAGGTCGTGATATTCTTTTTTAGTTTTTTTTTCCAGGAAAAGTCTTAAAATTTGTTCATGCTCAAATTAACTTTTTCGCTGTTTGACTTCTGCTTTTGTTTTACCCATTCTCAAAAAAAATGTTTCAACGGAAAGACCCCGACTCCCCTTTGTGCCTGCATACTCTCACAGTTTGTGCGGTGAATATTTGATTATACCTATATTTTTGTGTTCTCTAAAACTAGCATTTTAAATATGAGGTTTTGCTTTCAATGAATATCACAGATTTGAAGATCTACCCTGCGTAAGCAGCTATTTCCCAATTGTGCAGAGATTGTGGGTTAAATGGACATAAAAGGTAGTGGGAAGCTCACCGGCTTTAACGGCCACTCACAAATTATTTTCACAAAACTTACGGCCCTCGGAAATTTCAAGTTTTGACTTCTACCGTTTTTGAAGCTTTTTGATTTTTCTGGAGAACCACTCTCCCAAATTTGGTTCAATCGAAATAACTGGTTGTATGAAGCCATTCTTCATAATCGATTATGCCCAATTTTTGTTATACAAAAAGTTATTTCCCTCTCGGAGAAGTCCTTTTTTTACGGTTTTTGGAAGTGTTGAATTTCTCGAAAATTACATATCTGAATCTGTGTTTTTGGTTTCAAACGAAGAAACAATTTGCGTCAATCGATTCTGCTGAGGTGGCGACGCTCAAAAACAAAAAACTATGATTCTCGAAAGTCAAACTTTTGATTTAACAGTTTTTTTTTGAAATTTTTGACTTTTCTCGATAACTATTCTGCAAAATCTGATATCAAGGGTTAATCGAAGAAACAGGTTGTTATAATCCTACTTTTATAATTGGTTACACTCAATTTTTCTGAAGAAAAAAGATATGGTTTTCAAAAAAGTCAAAATTTTGAACTTTTGACCGTTTTCTGAGAAACGAATCGACTTTTCTTAGAAACTACCCTATCAAATCTGAGCTGAAGAACCGGTTGCGAGAATTTTCCTGCAGAAGCGGCGACTCCTTTATGTTTTGCAAGAAAAATGTTATGTTTTGTGTGAAAATGTTATTTTCTCAAAATTGACTCTTCTCAATTATTTCAATAGAGAAACATTTTAGGTTTTAAGTAAAATCAAATTTTTGAAATTACCCATTGCATCCCGCATCAGTATAACAAATTCAAAAACTTCAAAACGGTATTAGGGTCCCTAGTTATGTTTTATCCAGACATGAGAAAGTTTTGTTTTACTTTCTTTTCAACTTTTTTCGTCTTAGTATGCTTTTTTATGTTTGTATTGTATATTGCATGCAATTTTTATTGTAGTTGTTTTCGGAAGTGTCCTACAATTTAATACCATACAACTTAACACCGTACATTTCAACACCTATACATTTCACTAATAAACAATTTAAATCCACAACAATTTAACTCCTATTTTCCAGTTTAACACCTTTCATTTTAACAGCTCTAGTCATTTCACTAAAATTAATGCGGTATGAATTTCTTATCTTAACTCTTATCACATCAAAATTAATCCTGCAATTAACGCAAGCACCATAATGAAAAGCTTGGTTTATCTTAGTTATACATGCTAAAACGAGGCTTCCTAAATTACTTAAGACTCTTATCGACAAGTTCATAGTTCGCTAAACCATTATGATCACTAAAAAACCTGCTTGTGCTAATTCATAACAATTTGACGTATAATTTGTGACAAAAATTAAATTCTGTTAGTCACTTTATAGTTTACTCAAGTTAAAAACAAACGCAAACACAATAAACACATTATGATTGGGTCTTCTCTTGAATTCACAGTTTCATTTAAAAACAAGCCAATTCTTGTAGCATCCGGCCACGAATTTTTTTTCAAGCTGGATTTGCTCCAAATATCGAAAACTGGATTTGCTCCAAATATCAAACATATAGATTCGAGCAACTGCCATTACAGAACATTCCGAATTAATCGAGACGCGTGGAGAGCATAACCATGACATTTCAGCGGTAAAATCGGATGCACGAAATGTCATGAAGCATTTAAAAGATCTCAGCGAGAGATTTATACCGACTGTCGCAGTTGCCAGTGCGGTTTTGCCAGGTACAAACAATATAGCCACTCAGTTTGCCATCCCAAGTACAAAACAAACGAACGGCTGCGCGCACACATAAGCAGCTAGTTGTAAGTATGCCGCCCATCCCCGTTGCGTCAAATTTCGAGATCTCTAAAATTTTTGAAAATTTTATCCGGTATGACAGTGGATCGAATGATCACGAGCGAATCATTTTGTGCGGCGACCCCGAAATGCTGAGAGTTCTGGAGAAGTCATCTTTCTGGTTAGCTGATGGAACTTTTAAAATTGCTCCCAAAATGTTCTATCAGCTATATTCTATTAGTTCTATGTTTTTGGATACTCCTGCAATTTGTAATTTCGCTAACATAACTTCATATATTTTCCTTTGTTTTTGTGCCTACTTTTTTCGGCAAAGTTATTTCGGCTTAGTGATCTAAATTTTGGTCGTATCAAGGGAAACAGCTCTTCGGATCCTACAAAACTCTATAAATTGCAGAATTGGTTTTATAGTTCATGACAACGATTTTTTCTCGGCTCTACGTGAAGCTACCGAAATTTTGTTGGCTCAGTTGCCGCTCGTTTGAGTTTTCATGACACGCCGAAGATTGTGTTTCTAGACATAAAATTTTTCCAGGTGGGCAGTAGCTGTTTCTGAAAAATTGATTGCTTATAACATCTTCTTTAGGATCAAACTATTTTTCCTCTAAAGTACAAAAATAGAGATCATGTTTTGCTATGCTATATAAATACAGACGTTTTTCCTCGAAGGAAAGGATCAACAACCGACCGAGATCCTTTAACGTAACCGGAGTTTGGTCCCTGATTAGGAAATACATGCAAAAACTACATGTTGTTTTTTGGGCTAGGAAGAGTGGCCTTACTATAAAGCATCAAACACGGATCATGGCGAAATTCGAGCCACTGATATTTTTACTGAGATGCGAAGACTTGAACGACCATTTTACGGAGATGCAAAAATTGGATGAACTTTTTTTCTGAGATGATTCAACCGACAGTTTTACTGGGGCTGGAAGCCCACTGTTTGGTTCAGCTTTGCGTTGACTTAGCTAAATTTAGTGCTTAAATGACAATGAACGTTGTAAAAAAGACTTATGCAGGTCGTGTTTCTTATGTTAAGTCTAGTAGTTCAGACTATTATATAGGTCGTGTTATTTTTTTCAGAAGGCTTAAATTTTATTCAGGCTCAATTTTACTTTTTCGCTGTTCGACTTTTGATTTCTTTTTTTTTAGTTCAGTTCATTTTCTTTGTTAAGGAAGGCAAATTCCACCACTATTGAACACCAAAACCGTAGAGGTGACGAAAAACGTGATCAACCCTTAGTTTCGAAAGTGGAATTTAATTTGAGATTTCCCAGCGATCCAGTTTTGATCCAGTTAGTTATTGATCCAGTTTTCTCAAATTGGGTAAATTCTATCAAAAAGTTGCAATCATACACTGTTCGTGAAATTCATCGACCCTTAAGGGTATATATTTTCATTTACACTCGAAAGTGAAAGTTTTTCAAAAAAAAAGTCAGTTTTTTCTGTTTCCTTGAACTGTTTTTAACTGTCTGTTACTCTGTTGGCGCTGTTTAGACAAGTATCCCCAAGTGGAGGACTTGGCTCTAGTCTTCCCATTTGCATTCGTGTTGGGTATAGTGAGACTTCTGTTTGGGCGACTGGTGGCACAGCCCATAGGTGCTTGCATAGGCATCTGTCCGCGAGGAGCCAGGAAGCCATACCCTAATGCCATTCTGGAACGAGTCTTCCTCACGATAACCCAGCGTCCGGACGAGAAGCACTTGAAGGTAAGGAGCACTCGCTGTACTAGGTTGGCCACTTGGCCTAAATATACTATCAAAGTAACCTTTTATAGTATATATACTATATAAGTAAAAAGTTACTTTCTGTAAAATTAACCTGCGTTACCATATTCCTACCTCACTTCCTATAAAAAAAAACTTAACTGACGTTTTCAAATGTAGGCAGTTTTTTTGTGAGCTAAGTGGAAAAAGGACCTAAGAGAACACTTAGATCTTTAGATTTGGCCGTTCGTTTATTTAATTATCAGAGAATTATTTAAGGGAGCTTCGGTCAGTTAAAAATTCTATCGAAGGTTCGTCTAGGATGTTGCTATTGTTTTAACGCTTCTCTTAATTCTAATAAACTCAACTCCCAATTTTGGCAGCTGTTCTATTTTCAATTTTGCAGGGCCTGGAAAAACAGCTGGATTGCTGGAACCAGTACAAGATCAAACAGTGGTTTGCTCTGCGCAGAGCTCAATTGCGACCATCGAAGATGTCCAAGTTCAAAGAGAGTCTTTGGAAGCTGATGTACTACACAGGAATTGTAGGCTACGGACTGTACGTGTTCTCAGAAGAAGACTTCTTCTACGATCTGGCCAAGTGCTGGAAGAACTACCCGTTCCAGCCTTTGAATCCGAGCATCCAGAACTACTACTCGATCCAGCTGGCCTTCTATGTGTCTCTTCTGGTGGCGCAAGTGGTGATGGTGAGACGCAAGGCCTTCCGACACCTAGTCATGCACCACGTGATTGCAATAGTGTTGCTGGTGTTGTCTTATGTCGATAACTTCATCAGGCTAGTGTGCAATTCGCACTTTACGTTGTATACAAATTAATCAAAATAATGTATACTATACTATGGGTAAACTTGAACGGGAATCTGCTCTTTCGACAATATCTCAAAAATTAGCTGTTTTTCTTGGTGACTTCACTGGGCATCGGTAATAGGCCTCCCTAACATAACGATTTAATCTAAGAGGATAAATTAAATCAGCACTGCATAGGTCTTGCTGATTTTTATTTTTTTTTCTGGAAAAAGTCTTAAAATAAAATCTTTACCTGTTCGTTCAGTTTTTTCAAGATGGGTTTATGTTATCAAGAAAGCGCCAATCATAAATCGTTCTAGAAATTCGAAGAGCTTAACGGGCATCTATGTTTTTCTTTGAAATTCGAAAGTGAGATTTTTTCAACAAAGTCAGTGTTTTTTTTTTCATGTTTACTTGCGTTCATTACTCTTTTCCAATCTTCGATTGGCTATGTTTGTAAAGTTTCAAGGTTTGTGTTATAGGATAGGCTGTATCATTCTGATCGCACATGACATAGCAGACGTGTGGCTGGAGACAGTGAAGCTACTCAACTACACCAAATGTGGTCGCCTCACCCACGCGGTCTTTGCAATATTCGCAATCTACTTCGTTGCAACAAGGTACTCCACACACTTACATACATAGATGAAACATAGCAGCATAGATGAAATTTAGCAGAAACGGGAATTCAAAACCCTCATTCGTTGGGAATTAGTTCTTGTTTGTTTTCCTTCTTTTAGTTGTTTGAAATAAAATTGTATTGGTTACTCTAGTGACTGTTGGCTGAGTGAGTTGTGTTCGAATCTTTGTCTTAGATTTTTTGTAGTTTTAAAATGAATTTTTCAAAGGCTTTGTTGGTGTTCTCTTACGTTTTTCTTTTTTTGCCGTTTTTCGAAGTACTTAATGAAGTTTTTTGTTGGTTTTTGCGCAACTTCAATAGTGTTGTAAAATATTTTCTCTTCCTCGTAATTTTTTGATCAGCTCAGTTACCATTTTGGTCAGCACAAAAATGGGGGGTGGGGTTAAAGTGTAAACTAACGAAGTGATTTTTACTTATATAGGTCTTGATGATTTTTGTTTGTTCTTTTTTCAGGAAAAGTCTTAAAATGCTCTTTTAACTAAATAACTACAAAGTGCATTAGTTCTTGTTTGTTTTCCTTCTTTTAGTTGTTTGAAATAAAATTAGTCTTGTTTGTTTTCCTTCTTTTAGTTGTTTGAAATAAAATTGTATTGGTTACTCCAGTGACTGTTGGCTGAGTGAGTTGTGTTCGAATCTTTGTCTTAGATTTTTTGTAGTTTTAAAATGAATTTTTCAAAGGCTTTGTTGGTGTTCTCTTACGTTTTTCTTTTTTTGCCGTTTTTCGAAGTACTTAATGAAGTTTTTTGTTGGTTTTTGCGCAACTTCAATAGTGTTGTAAAATATTTTCTCTTCCTCGTAATTTTTTGATCAGCTCAGTTACCATTTTGGTCAGCACAAAAATGGGGGGTGGGGTTAAAGTGTAAACTAACGAAGTGATTTTTACTTATATAGGTCTTGATGATTTTTTGTTTGTTCTTTTTTCAGGAAAAGTCTTAAAATGCTCTTTTAACTAAATAACTACAAAGTGCATTCATACATATCTATAAAATTATGAATACCCTTAGGTATATATGAATTTTTGAGTGCAATGCGAATTCATTTGCTAAAAGTTAGGTTAATTGCGCTCTCCGATTACGAAAGCGGAAATGGCGATACAAAGCGTGAACGACTTCGAGTTTCGAAAGTGCATTTCAATTTTTAGATTTCCCGTTGGAATGATATTTTTACCCATTGATCTAGTTTTCTTAATTTGGTTTATTTTTAGCAAAAATAGGTCAATAGGCGAATTGTATATGAGTTGTTTAGCCTGATATATTTTTTCTTCGGAAGTGTCAATCAATTTTTTTTTCGGTTTTCTTGTTCTTTGCACTTTCCTAACCTTCTGATGGCTATATTTATGTTCATGTCACGCCAATGGATGATATAACGATGCGAGATATTAGCGACGCCAGTTGATGATATAACGTTGCAAAATATTAACAAATGCGTTCAGAATTACAAAGCAAACGTTAATTATGTTTTAAATGTTATTGATTGAAAACAATTTTCAATATTATTACACACCGAGTTTTAGCGAGCTTTGTGTAATATAGTTGAGCTAGTCTTTTTTCAACTTAGGTCGCAAATATTGGTGCTACTTTTGGAGCATCATCGCGGCTTTTGATAGCTTGTGTTTTGAAATCCGAATATTATTAAGTGTGAAAACAGTTTCAAAAAAATAATGATGAAATTTTTTTTTCAGAAATTTTCGAACTCAATATACTTGGCAATTTTTTGAAACGCATAATTTAGACATAATTTGGTTTTATGCTTCCCAATTTATAACACGCTAAGTTAGTGGCAAAGTGTTCAGTATTTGGTGGCATTTTGCTATAATCACGATCTCTAGCATTAAAAATTTCGTAGCATCTATTCTCTGCTTTATTTGAGGCTAGTATTTGAGATTAATTAAGCGTCCGTGGCTGAGTGGTTAGTGCGCGAGACTCATATTCTCTAGGTCGCCGCAAGTGGCAGATGGAATCGGAGACCTAGCCGAGTTTTACTTATTCGATGCTACATTTTCTAATTGCACCTCAAAGAGCTGATTTTTGCGCAGCTTCGCCTCTGTGACAAAATTATTGCATGCAAGTTTTGTGTCTGTCTAAGAGTAATGAACGTAGTGAGTACTCTTATTTACGTCTTGGTGATGTTTTCGTTTTTCGTGATTTTACTTTTTATCTTATAAGTTTGCTACATTTCCTTTGTTACAAGGAAGGCAAACTCCACAATTGAACAGCAAAATTTAAAGGTCACGGAAAACTGGTAGGCTTGTAGTTTCGAAAATGGAATTAAATTTTCAGCTATTGTTTCAGATTTTTTAATTAGGGGTAATTTCATCAAGTCAGTTTTTTTTCTGTTTCCTTGCGTTCGTTACTGTTTTACTACTGTCAGTTGGCTATTTTTCTATTTGGTGGAAATTGAAAATTTACTAACCTTAGCTAGCAATAAAGCAGCTACACATCCTTTTTAACTGATGATGCTATGCATTGAAGCAAAAGTGCCACCAAAAGAGAAGTTTTCTTTTGCGAGTTAGGTTGGAAAAAGTTGCCTTCGTAATTTGACAATACGGTCCGCTTGTGTATAGACAACAAAGACAAGCAACTTCATTTTAGTCATTAAACAGTTTTAGTGGCTTGAAAAGCTTACATACGAAAGCAAGGCACCAGGATGCTCGCATTTCCAAAGTTCTTCCGCTGTGCCCACCTGTAATCTCCTCAGAAACTGCTCCGTCAGTCATCTAGGAGGATGCTAGCTCAGATCCAGTAACAGTCAAGTTTTTTACACTTGTGAAGTGAAGTTTATTAGTACGAACGTTCTTTTTTTCCAACCTAAGTCGCAAATAAAAGTGATTTGTTTCAAACGGCAGTACAATGATAAAAAGCTCGATTTCGGAAATTTTCCAACTCAATGTATCTCGCAATTTTTTCAAATGCATAATTTATACATAATTTGGCTTTATGCTTTCCAATTTATTACATGCAAAATTGTGTCTTTTGTATATTTGGTGCTACTTTTGCTCCTCTAATTTTGTAGGTTGCAGATTCGAATCCGATACGTAGCTGAGTTTCTGCTACTTCGAGGCTTATTTCTAGTTCTTATTTGACTTGATAGAGCTGCTTTTTGGTCGTGTTCTCGCAAGTGTTTGCAAAGCGCAGGTTCGCCTCTGTTTGAATACCTGTTTCATTAGAGTGGACGCAAATCCTCAACCCCTAACTATCCTAAGCTGGATTGAACTTTTACTTATTTAGTGGCGCAACCGAATATTCGAACGTTCGTTTGTGCAAAAGCCTTCGAAGGCTATCGGAATATTCGGTCCCATTTTACCTGCTTGTTATTGAGTTATGTACACTAAGTATCGAAGACTCGCTACTTTGACGAGGAAAATTTTGTGCATACCATTCTCGAGTATCCCGTCTGAGCGAGTTTTCAGCACTGCTGGAAACCTTGTTGCCGAGAAAGAGCAACATTACTGGAGACCTTGTGAACATGCTAAGTTTTCTGCATGAAAACTGGAAAATTTTCAATTAAATATTGATGTTCAATTTTTTTCTCTAAAATACTGAAAATCACAATGAAATACCGAATGTACATCCGGCCGTTGTGGCGACAATCTTAGACTTGGGACAAACTCGCATGGCGCATCCCGATGGGTAAATAACTATAACAACGACTCTTGGTAGAATCATTATTTTTTAAACTAAGACCGGCATCCATTTTGAGATTGAAATTCATGTTGTTCAGTTGAAATTGTAGTGTCGTCAGTCTTTGATAACTGCTTGAATTGTTCTTTGTTGCATTGCCTAGGTTGGTCTACTTCCCTCTCTGGATCATCAACTCCACCCTGGTCCAGTCTCTCTGGCTTCCCAACGTTGGATTCTTCCCTGCCTACGTCATCTTCAACGCTCTTCTTCTCTCCCTCCTCGCCCTTCACGTATACTGGGCACTCATATTCTTCCGAATAGGCCTCGGCATGTTCTATTCTTCAAACTCTTGCTCAGCGACTCAGTTGAAGCTGAAATCACAAACACCGCCCATGCATCAACAGCAGCCCCCATTGTGCAACACCACTCAGCCCACTGCGACAAGTAGTATAACTCATGGTTTCTTCGGGGGAGTGTTCGGTTTAGGAGGTTTTGGAGAGGCAGGTTGGGACAAGTCGTCGTCAGCGCTCTACAGTGACTCTGAAATCAGTGAGACAGAGTTAAACATGAGTGTGGGCGAGTTCAGCCCCACCTACTGGTTCAGAGTAATGCCGGCGGCGGGGGGATCTCCGGCAGGTGGGGTTAACGGAACAGCAACGAGTGGGTCTGGTGCAACGCTAAACGGGATCTTCCCCAGCAATATAGGCTTGAACATGACTACTCACCAGAATGGGGGAGCTAGTCAGCACCATCATCTGAACAATGGGGCAATGAATAGTGCATCAGCAACTGCAAATAATACTGACAAGGGCACAAATAGTAACAGTGGAAATATGACCACTGTGCACCATAGACGAAGCAACAGTGGCAGGAACAAGTCGTCCAATGGGGGAGGCGGATGCTCCTCGTCTAATTCGAGTAGCAACTCTTCGTCCACGCCAATCACTCGCAATGCCAATGCTCTGCAGGTTCAAAATGGTCACGTGGGAGGTGCGGCAACTACAGCAAATGGTCATATGTGCCATTAATCGTGCATTGATTTGAGAACGAGAGGTTGGCAGGAGAGTGCTTAATTGACTGCAATTAATTAATGCGAATGCTTGTAGCGGTTTGGTTTATTTGTTATTTGTGTAGATGTAATTCATTAATTATGTAACCATCAAACTGGTGCCACATTTCTGACTTCATCCCTGCGTTGATTGAGATCCTACCTATGTCGGTTTGTTCTTCCGTTTTTTTTAAATAGTAGAACGCAGAAACATGACTATTTAAAAATGATGCTACAGGTTTCTTCAAAAAGAAAGATTCTCAATCGAATTAATGTGTGACGACATCAGTGATATTGATGATATTTTTGCTTATCTGTGCTTTATAGTTGTATTTATTTAGTAGCGTGACTAACCCATTTGGTCAAATGTGATGGTAGAAAGGTTTTCACGACCTCTATTCCGACAAACCCCTCCCGCCATTGGGTGTGAAATTCTGTTTAGGTTTTCTGTTCTTTATCTTTCTTTTTTATATGTATGTCTTGATTTTCTTATTCCTGAGGTAACCGGTCTCAAACGCGAAGTTCAAAAGAAATTTTTGAACTACAGGAGTGCTTGATATAAACTTTTCAACGATGTTGAGCGATAGAAGTCAATCCATGCAGCCAACCATTTCAAGTTGAAGAAAACTGCAGCAATTAAATGAACGAAGCAACGAGATCGGTTTGTGCTTTTATAGACGTTTCCTGTGCATTGAAGTTCAATTATGCGTGTGGTAGCCTAAACTGCGCCGCTTCTCTTTCAAACCCTCCTATCCAAAAAAAATTTAGTTCAAACAAATCATCTCTATCAGATTATAAAGGCTAGCTAATTTAATCTCTTCTCTAGGCTCTTATTTCGAATAATTGTATTTTTTAGAGTAATGAACGTACTGAAGACTCTTATAGAGGTCTTGGTGATTTTTTTTCAGGAAAAAGTCATAAATTGTGTATAAAGTCTCTAAAAACTACAGATGTGCATTCATACATATTGATGCATTTATGAATGCACTTAATATATTCTTTTTTGAGTTCAATTGAAATTCATCTGCTTAAAAAGACGTAAATAGCACTCCAAATGCGAACGGAGAAATTGCGCGAAAAAACGTGTACGATTTCTAGTTTCGAAAGTGGAATTTAATTTTTAGATTTCCAGCGGAATAAAAACTTTACCTGTTTCTCACGTTGGGTTAATAATACCAAAAAAGCGCCAATCATAAATCTTTCCAGAAATTCAAAGAACTTAAAAACTTTTTCTTTAAAATCCGAAAGTTGAGATTTTTCAACAGTCAGTGTTTTTTTTAATGTTTACTTGCGTTCATTACTCTTTTCCAATCTTCGATTGGCTGTGTTCAATCAGTCGTGACTTGGTTTTTTTTTTTCATTCTACCTTTCGGGTTGGCAATTAATTAGAGTGCGGATCTGTGATAAAAGGAAAAGTGAAAAGCAACATGGAATCTTTTACCGTTGATGTTGTGGGCTATTTAGTTTCGCCGTTTTTGTAGCTTACCCCAACTAGTCAAGATGTGTCCTCCGCAATGGGGATGAACACCTTATCCCATCATCAATACTTGGGGCTAGTAGAGATGAAATAATATTAATTTGTTCAACTCTATTCAATTTGTAGTTTTAGTTGTTTAGTGTCACTTGGTTCTACTGTCGTCGTACTCGTAAAATGCTGTATTATACTTCAATTTAGAAATGATAACAATAATGATGCAATATTTAAAAAAATGTTTCACTCGCATTGTTTTCTAAGAAATACTTGCTGAGCTCTATTAGAAAATGTTTTTTTTTGCTAGAGAGGCTTGTTTCTGCAAGTCTTCTTGTATCAATGCAAAGCCATAATTTTTCCGACCATGATTTCCTTTTTTTTCACACAAGCGACCTTGCCAGTGTGGTGTTATACTCTCATTCAATTTTTTGCCAACCAAAGGATTTGACAAAGTTTGACAAAAGTGCAGTTTTTGAGTTGTACATTTCATAACCTTTTGAAGATATTGACCCCCTGGGCTCACCGGCAATCAAATTTTGAAACGTTCTAGGGGTTTGAAAGTTAACGCGTAAGAATTGTTAATGAACTCGCACTCCATCGAAATTCTGGCGCGTTTCGTACGTTTACTTTTTGAAGTTGATTAAGTGTCAATTACGAAGTGAAGACCTTTATTTAGGTCGTTTTCGTTCTTTTTCTTTCATTTTTGCACGACCCGCCCCCTCAGGGATTTGACCCCTTGCCGGTCTAAAATTATCCACCTTTATACTACTTTTGGCTGACGAACCCTAAAATTTTTCTGAAAGCGCCTATGGCGCCAAGATACTTCTTTTGAGGGGAAGCACGCGCCGAAACAGCAATTTTTGAGTCAAAATTTTCCTAAAAAGGCTTAAAACGCCTTTTTTGGCCTGCTTTTTCAAAATTTTGCCTGTGGCTCAGAAAATTTTGTCAAAGTAGGATCTTTATAGTGAATTGTGAAAAGCTCGAAGAATCAATTTCGTCAACCTTAAAAAAAAAATTTAAGGTCGACCAAATTGTTTCTTTAATTTTTTTTGAAAGTTTTTTGAAAATCCAACCCTCTCGAGAATCCTAGATCCGCTCCTGGCAGTGCGCTCGATGTCATACAGACGCAATGTCTTCTGCAGGCTTATTTATTTTTCCGGCTTTAATTAAGTTTTTGTTTGAATTTAGAATTTTTAGAGCAATTGCTTGCCGATTTGTTGCTTGTTTCGAAGTCTTGCTTCACTTCCGTGCCTTCATTGGGCTAGTTTTAGTTACAAAAGGGCAAATTATTAGCCCTAAAGCAATTATTTGAAAAAATGAAGAAAAAGGTGTTTTTTTCTTCATTTTGTCTAAAATGTCTGGCATTATTTATTTTCTGGAAAACGCTATTGAATGATGTGAAACAATGATCAAAAAAGTGTTAGATTATAGCAGAAATAGCGTTAAAATTGCATTATAATTGAAGATTAGAGGTCAGCCTTTAATCTTGTTCGTGTCAGCCGCTGTCTAAATTAGTCTAAGAATAAGTTTTTGAAATCTTTTTAGAAATCGAATCAGGGCCAATGGGGCTTTAATTTGATACCACTTTTGATCCCCATGCGAGCTTTCCTTGAGGTAATTAAAATTGACTGAAAAATAACAGATCCTGTGCAATAGTTCCTTCCCACCGGTGGTGGTAGCTAAAATTTTCATTGGGCTCATTAAATCAAGTTCATATTGGCTATGTTTTGTTCTCATTCGACACGATGTTATTTTTGAATTATAGATGTTATTTTTTGTACCTTTTCGCCGTTAATTTTTCGGTCATTGTGACTTGAATTTCAAATAGAAATTCAATGTTCTCTTAAAGTGATTTCTGGTAATGTTAATGTTCAATCTTGTTGTTTCAGATTATGTTATGAAAAGTTTACATTGACTGATTTCAAATGCCAATTAAATTGCAAGAAGAGTCAATCCAAAATAAGTTTAACCTCTCATTCAATACCGAATCAACCTGCTGACAATCGACTTCCGTAACTTTATCTTACCCAAATCTCGTTCATTATTGAACTTAACGGCAAAGTTATTTTAAACATCTCGTACATTGTACTTAGGGCCCAAGCAAACGTTAGAGTTAGATGCTAAACCCACTAAGCGGCAATTGGGGATTTTGTTCGAATTTTTGCTTTTTATTCGAATTTTTTGAGTAAGAGAGGAATCAAATCGGCATCTGTGGAACTTGGGCGCTCTAGGAACTCATAACTATGTTTAGTACTTCTGGCTTCCTGTCTGGCTTCTACAACGTGGAATTGCACCACCATCTTGACGGATCTATAAGAAAGAAGACAGTTTGTGAATTAGCCAAACAGGTGATGATAATGTGTTACTATATGTGGCTATACCGGCTGATGTGATACGATTAACTTAATCAAGGCGTGTTTTGAATGAGAATTCAGTTACTTATAATTTCAAACTACGGTTGAATTGTTCTCCCGTAACTGAATTCAAAATGAATTATAATATGCTGCAGATTTTACGCGGTCATGTATCAGTTTGTCAGTTTTTGAGCACTTGTTATTTGGCTGATGGGTGTGATTGCGGTTCATTTGGACCAATATTAAGTCATCTTTTTTGAGATACTATTCTAAATGGTGTAACACATATAGTAACATATGACTGTAAAACAGTATGACATCCCTTTCGACGACCAAAAGTTCGAGGAAGCATTGAATGCCAGCAATAGTCTAGTGCCTTTTCTAGAATGCTTCCAAATGTTCCTTCCCGTCATCCAGGGAAACCCGGACGCGCTGGAACGACTGGCCTATGAGTGTGTCGAAGACCAGTATAACAATCGAGTGGCATTTTTCGAAACTAGAGTGGCTCCTTTTTTCTTACTCAGGAATAGTGGTGGTGATCTTGACTTCGACTGCATACAAACATGCTGTGTGCACGATGTAGTGGATGCGATCTTAATGGGACTCGAACGCGGTGAAAAAGACTTCGGCGTCAAATCTACTTTGATATTCTGTAACCTGAGAGGCCAGACTCAATGGCTCCAGCCCCTAACAAAGTTGATCAGACATTACAAAAGCAACCCGAAGATTGTAGGAATTGACATGGCAGGAAATGAGAATCTGGCGTGGTCGACTGAAGAGTTAGAACTCACAAAGGAATGGTATCGAGTTGCGAGAAGTCTAGGCTATGGATGTACTTTCCACGCAGGCGAACAGGGCATGGTACAGAATATAGAACGGGCTCTGGACGAAATCAAGAGTCACAGAATTGGGCATGGGTATGCTCTGTTCAAAGATGAGAATCTCTTAGCACGCTGCAAGGCTGAACGGGTTCCTTTTGAGTACTGTCCTATTTCGGCCAAGACACTTAGTAGCCTGGGAACTAGTTTCGATGACCCGAACAACCCGATTCTCCTGGGCAAGAAACACGAAGTGAATTTCTCAATCAGTTGTGATGACTCTCTTTTCTTCGGGAATTTACTTCCTAGTATCAAAATATGTCGGGATGTTCTCGGATTTTCAGAAGAGTATTTGTTCACAATCCGTGAAAATGCAGCTCGAGCCACATTTTTGCCAGAAGAAGAAAAGGCCAAATTAATCAATCATATTACATTGAGAATGTAGACTTAGTTTAAAACTTCGTTTATCAAAAATTTTATACTAATTGGAAAATTTGTAAAATCACTTGGGTTTGAATTTTGCTCAACGGTTTTACTGTTTTCATTGCTTTCTATTTTCATATTATCAATATCAAACTTCATGAATAGTAGAATTTAACCTATCTGTTTATTTTTTATCGAACGAGGATGAAAGTGCAAAGTTTTCCTTTTTTACTTTTAGTGGCAACTTTTTGTAACTTAAGTTGGTGTAATTTTATTATCAGCGTGATCCAATTCTTTTTGCTTTAATCATCCAAAGTGGCTCAAATTTATTGGATGCGCAATAGCTATATGGTATTTGGAGCACAGATTTGGAGCTTGATTAACACGGGCGAAGGTTTTCAAATACTTTGTATCAAGACAATGTCATTTAAGAATCAGCTTTTCACAAATTTAAGAGCTGATAGTTTTGCTGATAATTAAGAAATCGGCGATCACTTCTCTGCTCGGCCAAATTCCGAAAGGTTGAAAATTGAAACGATGCAGACCAGTGAGGCAATAACGGTAAAACAATGAACTAAGGTGAAAGTGGGAAAATTGCAATAAATTTGAGCTTCTTTAAAAAATGTACTTTAAATAAGGAAATATTTATATAGCAAAATTTAGCGCAATATCGAATCTCAAAAACAAAATCATTTTGCCCCTCAGGGATTCGACCTTCTCGAACCCAAATTTTTTATAGGCACCTTTGCCGCCATAAGTATATAATTGCGCCTATACAAAATTTTGGGTTTGGTCGCCAAAAAACGCATTTTTTTGGTCATATTGTTTCAATAAGTGACCAATTTGGATGACCTAGAGAAAGAACTAAAGGTCGGCTTTTTTTGAAAATCCGTCGTCCACCCCTTTTGTGAAAAGTATAAAACCGTCCCTGCTATAAATTTTTGTTTGCATGAGTATTCCTTGTAATAATATCCTACCAATCGGTAGGTAATCTTTGCTTATACTTCTTTGATTTCTCGCAAAATTTTTTTCCGTGAGTGTTTGAGTTCAAAAAATAATTGGTCGAAACACTTTTTTGTTGGATTATTTAAAAATATATCTGATCTTAGAACTCAGCTAAAGATGTATTAAAAAAACGTTTCACTAAAAAAATATCAGCAAATTTGCAGTAAATGTCTAAATTCTGATTTCTCAGATAGATTTTTTTGTTGCTCTTATTCTCATCTCTACTTTACGTCTTCCATTAAAAAGCGTTCTTTTTTCCTGTTGTTCGATTTTTTGATGATTTAATAAAACACTCTGCCTGAAGTTTTATCCTTCACCGGTTTTTCGCAGAGGAGCAAAACTGCAACGAACTTCAAACTGTTTTTTTTTTGAAAAATATCATTAGCTGCTTTAAATGTAACTGAGGTCAACATCTCCTGAGGTCTTTAATTTTTCTTGAATTAAGGTTTGAACTTGAGTAAGCTCTCTGTTAAGAAATGAAAATGCGCAAACATGATGCGAAAATGAAGCTTTTCTTACCTGAGCAACATGAAGTTTCAATAAAATTGGATAGTGATCAGGGAAACACTCATTATCAAGCACTTTTTCCGATACTTTGCAAATATTTCCGTTAAAAATGATCCATACATGACGTACTAATTTCGACCAACCTAGTTAGTGTGGTGCTCACAAGATCAAAACAGTTCGAGATTATTACGTTCTGATACATTTGTAAATACCACCACATATAAGTGTTGTAACTGTGCAGACGTAAAGGGTTTCCAATTCCTCTTCTTAATCTTCAAGAAACTTTTTTATCATATCGAGGAGCATATATCACAATCTATCTATTGTTTTTTTAAATGCGGGCTTCACTATCTCGCCATTTTTAAGCTTTTTCAACGTATTATTTTTGCATGTTTAAACTATATCGTATATTGCAATGGTTAAGATTTTTTTCGATTTTCCTGTTTGAAATCAGTGTTTACTTCACCAAGTTTGAAAGTAGCAACCCAATAGTGAGACGCTGTCAGGGTTTCCCCGGATGTTGCGATTTCGGCCTCCATATATCAATAAGCAGTTCTTTTAGTTTACGAGATACGGCAGTTTTTGAGATTTTTCAAAAATTTCTAAAATTTAATTTTTAAAGTTTCTGAAAAATTGAAGTTCGCAACCCTGTAGTTGGGGGATGTCATGGTAGTCTCAGGAGTTGCGAATCTTCCCTCTGAATATGACTGCTCAAATCTTTGTAGTTTTTGAGATTTCATGTTTTTTAGGATTTTTTCAAGATTTTTAAAAGAAATTAGATATAAATAATTTCACAAAATTTGAAGTTCTCACCTCTATTGTTAGGCTGTGTCAGGGTACTCCCAGGAGTTGTGAATTTATTCTCCAAATATGATTGCTCAAATCCTTGTAGTTTTTGAGATATAGCGTTTTTTGTGTAATTTTTTTTGTAATTTTTTTTCAGAAAACTTAAATATTTTTTTATTTCTTCAAATTTGGATTTCCCAACCGTTTAGTTTGTGACTGTCAGAGTGGTTTCAAGGTCTCAGGTGTTGCAAATCGTGCCTCCACTTGTGACTACTCAAGTCTTTGTAGTTTTCCAGATATGACGTTTTTTATTTTTTCAAAAAATTTCAGAAAACTTAATTTTTTTTTCTTCAAACTTTGAAGTTCCTAACCCCTCTAGTTGGGGGTTGTCAGAGTACTCTCAGTGATTGCGAGAGATCTTGCCTCCAATTGTGGCCGCTCAAATCTGTTGGTGGTGTTCGAGATATGACGTTTTTTTTTCTGGTTTTTTTAAAAAGTTTTTTTTTCTAGAAAACTTAATTTTAAGTTTCTCAAAATTTGAAATTCCCAACGCTGTAGTTGGGTACTGTAAGAGCAAATCTTGCGTCAAGATGCGGCTGCCCATTTAGTTTTAGCATCCGAGATGTGATTTTTCTTAATTTTTCAAAGATTTAAACGTTTTTCAAAGAACTTAGATATAAAAAACTTGAATCCGTCTCTGTCTTTGAAAGTCAAAAATTGATTGTTCGCAAAATAGACTGATTTAGAAAAAAATTTATGTGCAAGAGTGCCAAGAGTTCCTCGTTAACATCTATTACAGTAATTGCTCGGGTATGGAGCCTAAGCAATCTCTTTTCCGCTAAACTCCTGCAAACTCAATTGCGTGATAACTAAATGACTCGCTAAGTGTTGAATTATCCTATAATTAAACAAGACTGCTCGTATCAGGGCGAAGCCCTGAATGTTCCGACTGCTTTGTAAGGTTTATGGAGCAGCAGTAATAACATGAAAAAAATTAAATGGATTAAAATAAAATGAAAATTTTTTTTCTAAAACTTGAAATTTTTGATGAAAATCATCACCCCACACGCCATATATAGTACAAAAAGATATATTTCGTTCCTTGAAACAAATAAATTATGGCGAATAAGCTTCGTTCAACCAATTTGGAACGATTTATAAGACGAATTAAGTCTCCGCTTACGCGTTAATAGCGCGAAATATATCGCTCGTTAATTGTCCCAAAGCCAAAATGGCAATCTTTAACCCTCATAACTTTACAAAAAATGATCACAGGTGAAATATCTTTTCAAATTTAGGCTCAGGACAACAATATTTTTTGAATTATATATAAAAAATCTCCGTCAAAAATGGCTAGTTAAAAAGTCGATATTTGTCTGAAGAAAAAAAAACCCACCCCGAGCACAAATATTGCCTTACTTTCGTATTGAAAGTCGGAACAAAAAAGAAGACAAGGTGAATTGGCAAAAACGCAGCATGAAAGAAATGTCTACACAAAACTATTGACTAACCGACTTTACGTTTAAGGCAGATTAATTATTCAAAATTTTTTTTACTTTGTACGATAAATTTAAACAATTGAAAGAATTTTTCATAGATATTTTTAATTGATTCTTTTATCCGGAGTTTTCCTTAACGTATTCAACATTGAGTAATAAGACCGCTCCTCAAACATAGTATGAACAAAGAAGCATTGTCAAGCTGTCGCCAATTACACTTATCTGCTCTTTCGAAATTTACAGAAAAGCCGGTTCTTGCCCAGTTTATCGAACATCTGTCACCGAATAATTTGTGGCCTAAACTCCAATCGGCATACCGTAAAAATAATTCTTAAGAAACTTTTCTTTGCTCGATTACATTCATTCCAAACCTAATTCTAGAAACTACTTGTATGTTGTATCGTTAGATTTTTTAGCAGCATTTGATACAATAGATCACACATAACCATACAATAGATCACGCAATAGATCACGCAGTTCTAAAAAAATGTTGGTATTGCTAATACTGTCAAAACTTCTGCAAATCTTACTTTTCCGACAGTTTTGTACAAGTTATGGTAAACCGTTACCTTTCCGAAAATATTCAGGTTGAAACGCGGGGTTGCCTAACGGCTCGGTTCTTGGGCCAATTTTCTTCAGCCTTCATCTCAATTTTCTGCTCGAGTATCTTATCGACAATAATGTTGCCTACCATTTTTGCGCCGATTATTCTCAATTATTTACGGATCTATTGAACCTTTATGCTCTCAATTACATCTTAGGCTCATTTTGAACGAAAATAATCCGAAGTTTTACTTTTTGGTAGACTACTACAAAAAGCATACGAAACCTGTTCAACTCGATAAAGCTTCTGGGTTTTTGCTTAGATTACAATGTCTTTAGAGAAGCAGATTAATCATTGTTGCAATTACCCGGGTTGACCTCCATAGACCAAAAATGCTAATCATACAATTTCATACACTTAGTCTATGGAAAATTGCTAGTCATACAAATTTCATACATTTTTGCAAAATGAGTTTAATCCAATTTCAAAGGTATTTTATAGTTGTTTTGGTATCGAAATTGGTATCTCTTCATAAAAAAAGGGAAAAAAACGGTATGAAAAAAAATGCTAACCATACAATTTCCATATATGGAAATTGTATGATTAGAATTTTCTTAAAAATTTTTTTTGTGAAAAAAAGCTTTGATCAATCAATTCAACTGCTGGCAAAACATTGAAGCGTTTTCTGGGCTGATACGACTGAAAACTTTGAATTTTTTAAAATTTTTGTTTTCTGAAAAAAAAACACTAGTCATACAATTTTCATATATGGAAATTGTATGACTAGCTTTTTTTTGATGGCGACGACAAAAATTTTTTGTGTTTTTTT